ATGGCTATCTGGTTTACCCTTCTACATAAACACACGTTAAATAATGGCTATCTGGTTTACCCTTCTACATACACACACGTTAAATAATGGCTATCTGGTTTACCCTTCTACATACACACACGTTAAATAATGGCTATCTGGTTTACCCTTCTACATACACACACGTTAAATAATGGCTATCTGGTTTACCCTTCTACATACACACACGTTAAATAATGGCTATCTGGTTTACCCTTCTACATACACACACGTTAAATAATGGCTATCTGGTTTACCCTTCTACATACACACAAGTTAAATAATGGCTATCTGGTTTACCCTTCTACATAAACACACGTTAAATAATGGCTATCTGGTTTACCCTTCTACATAAACACATGTTAAATAATGGCTATCCGATTGATTTTCTAACCAGGATTACACGCAATTTCTTAAACAATAAATTCCAACCACCAGCCAATGTACACACAGTCCCCAAATTTCCCCTCATTATCTCCCTTCCTTTTATGGGTTCGCAATCCCTACCAATTGAAAAACAACTCTCTTCCCTAATAAGAAACTTCTATCCTCAAATTCAGCTTAGAATAACATACATACCTAGTCTAAGACTAACATACAGACCTAGCCTCCGCATTAAACACTTATTTCAATACAAAGATCAAGTACCTAAATGGCTCGTGTATAAATATACGTGTAGTGACTGTAAGGTCATATACATTGGCAAAACGAAACGCCACTTAAAAACTATAGTCTGTGAACATTTAGGAGTATCTAACAGAACCAATTATCCACTAATTAAACTCAGCCACTCATTCATTCGCTCATATTCTGAAACCACAGGTCACAATATTTCATTTAACGATTTCTCTTTCATCACCATCGGATCTTCAGACCTTGACCTCTACATTAAACAAAGTCTACTCATAGATAAAGACTGCCCGACTCACAAAGCTTTTTAGATCTAAAATTGTTCTAAATTTTCACACTTAACTCAACTGTTGTGTAATATATATATATATATATATATATATATA